AGTATATATATATGAGAATACAAAAAGTATTCTGTGGGAAGTCTTTTACAAACTTGAAAACCGAGGGTTAAACCGGATCGGTCCGGTTCGGCGACATATATAGAAGTTGAGATGGAGAACCGAACAAGGTCATCGAGCTAGGGGTGAACAATGGAATATCAGCTAGGTTTTGCAGATGATGTTGCTGTCTCTCCATACTAAACGGTGCCGCCGTGTCATCATCACCGACGTTGAATTCTTCCGTCACCACAGAAGAGGATGATTCGCTGACGCCGTTAGGGTTCAGTCTAATAACCTCCTCGTGACCTGTGAGCCGCTGAACCAAGGCCATGAAGTCTTCTGCGCGCGTGTGGATCACTTTCGGAGAGTGTGCGTAGATAATTACCGGAGATCCCCGTCCATGTCGCCGCCCTAGCTGCTTAACGACGTTACACGACGTCCTTTTCTTGATGGAGTGAGATTCTCCGGCCAGTTTTAGCGACGGTGGACGTGAACCGTTGATCTCATGGCATCTTGTAGGAATCATTGTGAGTAATAATTTTAAGCAAATATCAAAGGAAGGCTTTTGTAAATAAACAGAATTTCTTGTTCATTTGTGTATTCAGACAAGACATTCATTAAAAAGAGTATATATGTAGAATTATATATGCGTGTAAGTATGATTAAAAGACATCATATAATATTGTAGCCAACGATTCTGACCGTTGACTTTACATACGATAATAGTTTTGAAGTAGAACGATCGTTGTCTTTGAATAGTTTCTTTCTTATTTCTTAAACTTCGTCGGCTTCTTTTGTGTCAAGTTTTCATTGTAATGAATTCAGAAATGTTGATTGTATTCAAAAGGAATTAGTAATATTATTTTGGTAGAGAGTACTTCAGCAGAAGGTTTAATAGTACATAGAAAGTTTTCATTGTAATGAATTCAGAAATGTTGATTGTATTCAAAAGGAATTAGTAATATTATATTGGTAGAGAGTTCTTCATTTTCGTTCACCTTTGAATTTTGAATACTGACGGTGCAGGTGGCTGTAGATGGTTGAAATGGCTTCAATTCTCTCCCTTTACGTAATAAGACATGTTAAAAATGGTTCAAAACTGTCGGCCTCTTTTAATTCACACTTACAGGCAGCTAAAAACCATTAATCTATTTGTTACCCCCAATTTGCTAGGTATTATAATAAATATCAACGACATTTGTTTTGTTCTATTTATTTTATACATACACTACATTATTTTTGAAGAATAAACAATTTAACAGATGGTTTTTCTTTTCCAATTGGGACATCTAATATCTTAAGACAGAACTTGACTTTTGCTCTATCGGCCAGTTGAAATAATTTTTTAGTGAAAAAATAATACTTCAACTATATTTGTATATTTATTCTAAAAAAATGTACTAACTCATATAACCTACGCTTGTCCCATGTACATTAATTGAAGACAAGGTATGGAAGATTAATATAATGTAAAAATAGCTTGCGTCTTTGTCTTCACATTTTGTATATATCAACATCAAAGGTATGTTCAATGATAATTCTAACAAGTAGGGTAGTTCCACACAGTTTCCTAACTACAAGTATATACAAAATATTGGTTTTTGTCCACGCAATTAATTATAGTATATGATGTTTAAATAATTAATGTGTACATGTGCCATTAGAAATTATAATTCGAAGACAACTTGGAAAACCCCTAATTGTTTATCAAAAGTCAAAAGCCTCTTTGTACATATTAAAGTTTCACTAGCTGTTATACATGCATACGTACATTCCGATTCACTTTTACAAATGTGATATAAACGCACAATAATCATCTTCTTCGTGTGTTTTATCAGCAGACCCGTTACTAGAGTTTAGGGGTTTAAGATAAAAACAAAATGCGAGGCTCCAAAATTAATGTTAAAAAAAATTTAAGAGTCCAAAATTAGTATATAAAATTACAATAACTATAAAATATACATATTATATTTACTATATTTCTTAAATTTGGGACCCCAAAATTAATTGATATCAAAGAGGCCCCAAGACAATTGTCTCAATATTTTTTAAATAGGCACTGGTCTGGTTATCATATAACGAAGATAGACAAAGAAACCTAATCCATCCCCAAAACTCCCAAGCATCCCTCTTGTACACCCTCTTTCCTTAAGCATTTTTTTTTTGGGCTGAGCATATATTTCTAAGTTTTGTTCTTAGAATGTCGGTAGAATTTCAAAACCAGAAAAATTTCATTTCATTTAAAATTATAATGAAACCGAGTTAATTACAGCTCTACCACTGGTCAAGTTGTTATGAAAATTAAAATTTACTAGTATATTAATAAGATTCTCGGGCGGGTTCTAATGTTATTAATAATACTGGTAAGCCCAAAAAGAGCCCAAACATCAGGTATACCGTATAGTAATCGTATAGACTAAAGTCTGAAGCAAAGAGCAACAAGCACGAGCACACAAAACTTGGAGCATGAAATAAATGGAAAAGCTGAAGCAAAGGCCTCGGGATTATAGGATCATGCGCAAAGACACCGCACGCGCACTATCGCAACATGTAGCTAACATTTGGATTTAAGTGTGCTATTGTTTAGGCCCTGTCATGTTTAATGGAAGCAAATTATTGTGCTTCGGGAAAGAAAAATCAAATAAATTAATACTATGTGGTACTATTCAATTTTCGATAATTTTTTTGCCTTAATTCTTACATTCCTTGGATCTCTCCCATCTACTGTTCTATCTCTCTTTTTTTGTCTGTTCGTTGTCCCTCACATTTAAATACATTTCTTTGTCATTTTTTTTTAATAATCACATTTCTTTGTCACTAGTATAATTGTATTTATTTACTTATACAACTAGCTTATTTGTGAAAACATTTTTTTTACTTGCTTCAAGCAACAGCATTGCCCTTTCGTCAATATGCACAAATGATCACGCATGTAACTTTTGTGTGTTTCATGATAAACAAATGTATCTGCTTCACTTGTCTTCGTGAAACTATATCCCAGATATGTGTGGACTGTGGATGTTTGATCAACTTACACAAAGTTAATATA